CGGTGCAGAGGGCCTCTGGGGGGTGGGGGGTGCGGCCGGCCGGTTGGAGGCCGGGGCAGGCCTGCGGCTGGCGCCCCAGGCTCTGCCAGCTCCCCTTGCGCTTTGCCTCCTCCCCTTCCACCTGCTGTTTTAAACCTCTCAATTGCCCCCTTCATTCAACTCTGCTCCGCTCACCCCCCCCCCCTAGCTTTGGTGACCTGGTGCACCTGGTGCCCCACGCGGCCAGCGTCACCAGCCTCAAGGCCGCATGCTTCTACTGCAGCAGGCAAGAGGGCAGAGGGCGCCGGGAAGGGGGAGGGGGGCGGAGCGTCGAGGGCGCAGGGCGCAACAGAAACACGGCCTGGGACGCACGTCCAGACATCACACTAGACGGGGGAGTCTGCGTTGGGCGTTGGGAAGAGCCAGCGCCCGCCGGATCCTGGCGACAGCTTTTCGCGGCCCCGACAGAGTAGTTACGCCGCATGGTTCCCCTGGCACCAAACCCGTCCCTCCAACTCCACCCCCCCTCACCCCTGCCAAACACTCATTCCCTCCTCGACCCGTCCCCCATTCCATCGCGCCAGGCCTGCGCCCTACACCGTGCGCGTGGTGGGGCAGGACGGGCAGCAGCTGGTCGGCGGTGCTGACATATACAGGCCCGCCTGCACGCGCTGCTACCACGAGTGCAACGCGGGCCGCGGCGGGCCGTGAGGCACGGGCGATCTCACCCCCTGCCATGCGCTGCGGCATCTCTGCGGGACGACAGCCCCTGCTGGCCTGTGGGGCGTGTGACCCATGCGACGCGCCCTTGCCAGGGCAAAGCACGGCTGGATTTTTTGAAGCAGTAATGGTGCAGCTTTGATGCAGCTGTGCCTGTTTGACTGCTCTTCACCCAGGTTTATACACTGTGATCTGGCGTTGTCCTTCCTTTTGATACAGCATTCACCTGTGTCCCTGCCCCCCTATACGCTTTCCTTCCTCCTGTCATCAATATACAACATGCCTTGTCATGTTCTGCCTCGTGCGTGCGCACGCGCATGCGCGCTCTGACACTGAGCCCACATCTTTAGGGCAGCACACCACTGGTTTTGAATTTTTTTCATGGCATGGCCCCTGCTGAGGGCCGCCGCCCTGCCGTGTTGTTACACAAAGATAGAGCCGCCCCAAACCCGGACGACAGCACAGCATGTTGGTTGGTTGAGTTTGTGGGGACTTGAGAGTAGGGGCCCGCCAGCTGCAACACCAGGGGGCGCGTGGCTGCTGGGCTTGGGGGTCGCAGGATCACGCACTGCGCACCCTCACAGCGGGCGCAGGTCCTGGCAGGCTCAGGGCAGTGATCGCAGCCGCCGTTGCCAGCCGGGGCAGCCAAGTCGAGCGGTCAGAGCGTGGCGGCTCTGCTGGCTGAAGCTGAGGGCGCCCGGCGGGGGAGTCCAGCCGTCTGCGAGGGCGGCGACCGCGCATCGGCGGACGCGGGGCGCAGTCCAGCGCAGCCCCCGCGCGGCCCCGGAATGTCAGTGGCGAAGCGTTCCAACCCAAGCTTGCACGTGCAGACATACACACACATATAAACACACACGCTGCAGTGTGGCGAGCAGATGCGGACGCGCCACTCTTGTTGGACGAGGGGCCCTGCTCGGTGCGCTCCGGGGCTGAGAGACGGCTCGACAAGGCCGCGGGCTGCCAGCCCCTCCTGCGCCTGGGCCTTGGGCGCGCAAAGGCACACGGGCTCGAACAAAGGAGTGCTGTGATGTGAGTGTGGCTGCCTTTTTTGACGTGGTCATAGGGGGTTGACCCCGTGTGTGTGCGCGCGCAGAAACGAGCCACCTGCCGGCTGCGCCCTCTCGCGCGGTCCCCTGAGCTCAATCCGCGCGCTCCTTGGCCGCGCCGCCGCCGTCCTTCCCCGGCCCCTTGCCGCCCGCTGTGCCGTCCGCCTTGGCGCTGCCACCGTCGGCGGTCGCAATGGCGGCCGGGGCCGCGGCGGGGGCGGTGGCGGGTGCGGCCTGGGTGCGGGGCTCCGCTGCGTTGAAGTTGAGGTGCACCCCCAGGTATGACGCCAGCTGGGGGGTGGGGGTCGAGGCGGTTGAAAAGGCGGCGGAAACGGGAGGATGGGAGGGATGAGAGAGAGGTTGCTGAGGGTTTTAGCGGGGGCGGAGTGCAGGGCAAGGGGCAGGGGGTCGAGGGAGGGGGAATGGCATCCAACCATATGGTAGCCTGTGAGCAAGTGCAAGTGCGAGACAAACCATGTTCAGCCCTTGGACGGCCCACCCAGGTTGAGCTGCCATCCCCACAAGCGCCTCACGTTCCCCCACACAGCACGCAACGAGCGCACCGCACCCTGCCCGCCTGCCCCCCCGAGGATGCCCCTGCAGGCGTCACAGCACACACACAATGTGGAGCTTCACGCAGCCGCCACCCGACATCATTCAGATTGTGGTGCACTCCATTGCCCCACCTGAGGCATGCCAGCAAGGCCCTGTAACCCTCCTCATGTCCTCAACACCAACACCAACAAGACCGGCAACCCCCCCACCCCCCACCGTGAGGATGACCAGCCCCACAGCCGCCGCCGCCCAGCCCGTCGCCCGCAGCACCGCGTCCGTCTCCCCCAGCGCGGCAGCCAGCCGCCGCGCCGCCGCCGCCGCCGCCTCGAGCGCCGCCGCCGCCGCGTCCCCCGTGGCGCCAGCTGGGGCGGCGGTGCCCGGAGTGGACGCGCCCCCGGCTGCGATGCGGCGG